AATAGGTCTTTGAAGATGTTGTCAGTTTACATGAAATCATACCAAAGTAGGGTGGGTCATAATCCACTATAAGTAATGTCCTTATAATTAATTGCATTTGAAGTTCATGTGAGAGAGGGAGGGAGGAACAATAATGTAGAAAATGCATCTACAAGCCAAGGAATGCTTGGGGCTACCAGGAGCTGAGAGAGACAAAAGAAGGATCTTCCCCTTCAGAGAAAACATAGCCTTGCTGATACCCTGGATTCAGACTTACTGTCTCCAGAACTGTGAGACAATAAATTTCTGAATATAAAGCCACACATTTTGTGGTATTTTGTTACAGCGACCCTATGAGACTAATAGAAACCCCAAGGAATTTTTTAACTTCATCTGTTGTGCTTTTCAGCTCTAAAATTTCCATTTGGTTCCTTTTTATACTTTCTATCTCTTCCATGGCATTCCCTATTTGTTCATACATTTTTCTCCTGAATTCCTTTAGTTCTTTGTCCATGGTTTCCTTTAGCTCATTGAGCATATTTAAGGCAGTTGGTTTAATGTCTTTGACTTGTAATTCCAATGCCTGGGTTTCCTCAGGGATGATTTCTGTCAAATTCTTTTTTACCTCTGAATGGACCATACTATCCTCTTTCTTTGTATGCTATGTAATTTTTTGTTGAGAACTGGACATTTTGAGTATTATAATGTGGTAACCAGAAATCAGATTCTCTCCCTCCTCAGGGATTGTTGATTATTGCTTGTTGAGGGCTTTAGCCATCTGTTTGTTTAGTAACTTTTCCAAACTATTTTGCAAAGTACATTTTCCTTGTTGTGTGTGGTCACTAAAGTTTCTGTTGCATTATCTCTGCAGCCAGTGACCAGACAAAGATTTCCTTCAACGAAAAGGAAAAAAAAAAAAAGGGGGTGTTCTGTTTCTTTAAATCTTCTGATAAATGCTACAAGGGAAGCCAATGCAGCCTGAGAGGGCCAAAACCAAGGCAAGCATCTGCTGCCGTCCCTCAGGGAACCACCAGACCAACCAAAATGCACAACCCAAATTATAGGAGGAGAAGGTCCTTACTGCTTTTCCTAGCACCAGCCAGCCACTCCAGGAACATAGGCTGCTATCTCCATTGCCACAGCAGGGCTGAGGAATGGATGATAGTGGCCAGTTGGTGCCTGCCACTCTCTTACCTAAGATCAGCAGCCTCTCCTTTCATCAAGCACCTCCCTGGTTGTCATAAGTGTTCAGTCAGGTTCCTGAGTTCTGAAATAGTTTATTCTTGTTTTTTTCCAGTTAATAGTTGTTTTGGTGGCAGGACCAACCCCTAGAATTTCTTTCTGTGTTATCTGGCGTGACATTGCTCCATAGATTGATTCTAAAACTTGACAACCATTAAACAGCATTTCATTATTATGGCTATGTGAGTATTGTTCAGTGTTCAGTTAATGAATGAAAATTAGCTTTTCTTCTCAGTGGTAGTATTTCTGAGCCGCTAGCCTTAATGTCAAATAGATTCTCTTTTGTAGATTTCATCAATTGCTGAAAAATCATACCACATTTTAAGTTTGCTTCATATTTATACTATGATTTCATTGGCTAGGTTTGTATTTGTTTCCTGGAGTTTTATATCCCTTTTTGTTTTTCTTAAATGGTTTGCCTCTATTTTACCTTGTCAAATACAAACAAATCCGCACTTACATAGGGAGAGACTTTATCTGAAAAGATTATTGCAGTAGGGGAAAGGGAATTATTGCATAGAGAATGCTCCAACCATGAGACTCACAAGCATCTCAAAGGTGAGGCAGAAAAGGGCTTTCCTTTTATAGGGAAGAGGCAGCAATGCTAGAAAGAACCAGGTGTGGGGGAGTAGGATGAGTGGGTAGTGTCATCAGACATTTTGAGGAGCAAGTGTCTTTCCTTGCAGTCAGCTGATTCTTGTGAGGGCCACCAAGGAGGAGTTGTTCTGTATTGCGATGGCTGCTCAGGCTGATCTGGGGGACTTCGGAGACTCAGGGACTTGGGAGAAGGATAAAAACTTAACTGAGGTTTGGTCAAGTAAAGCTAGCAAGTATTTTGTCCAGATTGGTACAAACAGTTCAACTAATCATTTGTGAGGCAAAGAATGTGAATTTGCAGTGTCCGTGTCTGACCTTGTGATTGATAAATCGAGGGATCATCCATGAGTCTTATCTAAGTCATATGGGAAAGAGTGGTTCTTTGCAGTAAGCTGTTTCCAGGAACTCAATTGGTGGGGTGATTTCTTTAACCATTGTTGTTTTCCAAGAGCACAGAGCTCACATGAAGTTCAACATTGTCAACAGTGTTAACCTTCAGTTCCTCCAGCATTGCATCCCACGTCCTATTCTGTTGAATTTTTTCTCTTGGCTTCCTCTCTCCTAGAGCCTGACCCCCATTCTCTTGTTCTAGGTATGCCACTCCAAGAGCATCCTGAGCTACCCCTACTATTCGCCTTATTATTTCTTAATTTACATTCTTATTTTGCTGGAATACTTCCTGAAGTAACTTCGTAAGAAAGGCCAGATGGGAAGTAAGTTTTCTGAGTTCTTATTTGTCTGAAAAATTTTTTAGTCTCCTTTTCACAGATTGCTAGCTTGATTGAGCATAGAATCTTAGGGAGAAAATCATTTTCCCTTAAAATTTTGAAGACATTTCCCCATTGTATTTGAGCTGCAAGAAGTCCAATACCTCTCTCTTTTTCTCTCTCTTTCTGTGTTTGTGTGTAGAGAAAGGGAGGGCTGTTTCCTCCTCAAATGCTTCTTTTTCCTTAAGCAGGGTCTCTTCTCACTAAATTTGTTTCCAGCCGAACAAGAATTCATGTGCACTCAATGAATAAATCATGGGAGAATAGCACCAGATAAATAATTAACTAACTGCTTATTAGAGAATCTTGTTAAAACATAGTTAGACTTGATACTTTTATAACCAACAAAAGGAATGTGGAATTTTTGTAGTCCACCTTTCAATGGGGGTGATCAACTTTCTTATGAATTGAAATCTTAATAAAGATCCATTGCTCAGTTGCTTGTTCCTTCTCAAAGACCTCTTGATGATAAACATCTCTGTTATTTGTAATTACATGTAGATTATTCTTTTTCTAGATCCAAAATAGACTTTTCTAAATAATACTGAGGAGATTAGCATATGCATTTGATTTTATTACTAAATTTTAATACCAAGTTGGCAATTTATCCTGCTGATGAAATAGTGTTGATTATCCTTTTCCTCTATGTCTCTAACATATTAGCCAACTCGACGTGGGGGCTGTGGAAGGCTGCTCTGCAGCTGTGCGTTGGAAAAGCACAGTTCTTGGCTCGTTTTCTTTAGATATCTGAGTCACTGGAAACTTCTTCATCCGGCTCACCAACTTTTCAAGCTGTTCTTTGACACTCTCACTCAATCTTGCTGAAAGAAAGTCTAGGTGTTGAAGTTACAGAAACATGAACTTTAAATGCAATTAAACTTTATTTTTGAGTTATTTTACTGTTCAATAAGTATGCTCTCTGTTCTTACAAAACTTTTGGATTTTATGTCACTTTTAGATCCTTTTAGAATGTAAAAGTATTTTCTTCTATGTCAGAGCCCAGGGCGGAGGGATTCTTTACTTCTATGTGGACATACATCCTTATTGAGTTAATTATCCAAGTGGAATTTTTATTTAAGAAATTATCCTATACCTGTATAGCTATATTGTTTGCTGTTAGTTGCTGTGGAGTTGGTTCTGACTCCTGGCGACCCCATGTGTGCAGAGTATAACTGCTCCATAGGGTTTTCTTTTGGAACAGATCGGTAGTCCTGCCTTCCGAGGCACCCCTGGGTGTGTTTGAACCGCCAACCTTTCGGCAAGCAGCAAGCACTTAACCAGTTGTGCCACCTAGGGACTCCATACAGGTTTTGTAAAAATATCTTTTGCATGCTTTCAGCTTGACAACTTAGTTTCAACCATTCTTTTAAAAGAATTTAACGTGTATTTTACTCAGTTCTGCTTATCTTTTTCACTCTCTTTGACACATGCCCCTTCCTTTCAGATTCCACTGCCATTTCTTAAATCCAGGCCATCATTCACTAAGGCCTTGATGACTGCAGGAGCTTTCTGTCCAGGCTCCTTGCTTCCTACCTGCCCAGCCCTTGCCCTGATTCTCACCTCCAGACTATATTGGATGCCACTGCCAGATTTATCTCCCCGTTTTGTTGGTGTTGTTAGATGCTGTCAAGTCAGTTCCAACTCAGTGATCCTCTGTACAACAGAACGAAACACTGCCAGGTTCTGCACCATCCTCACGATCATTACGTTTAAGCCCATTGTTGCAGCCACTGTGTCAGTCCATTTTGTTGAGGGTTTTCCTCTTTTTCACTGACCCTCTACCTTACCAAGCATGATGTCCTTCTCCAGGGACATGTCCAAAGCATGTGAGACAAAGTCTCACCATCCTTTCTTCTAAAGAGCATTCTGGCTGTACTTCTTCCAAGACAGATTTGTTCATTCTTTTGGCAGTCCATGGTATATTCAATATTCTTTGCCAACACCGTAATTCAAAGGCATCAATTCTCCTTTGGTCTTCCTTACTCGTTGCCCAGCTATCAAATACATCTACTGCTTTACAAATGTCACATTCCTGCTGAAGCACCTTCTTTGGCCTCAGTCATAGAACTGGGTAGCCCCTTACCAACCTTCTGATCTCCAGAGCTGTGAGCCCTGTTTTCCAGTCTTCAAGTTCAGATCTTCAGGCAGGGCAGACTGTGGCCCCTCTAGCCAGCAGTGACCCTGCACTCTGACCTGTCATGGCCCTTGCCTTGTTTCCTTATACTGCAGTATTTGTGTGCACCTCTCTAATTTTATAGCTAATTTGTATCTAAACATCCACAGGATGAGCAATAGTGGCTTCAACTCATTCATATTCTCCACACTGCTCTGCTCTCAGCATCTGTTTGTTGAATGAATAAGTGATAGAGTTTTTTGTATTGATATTCTTTTCTTTCTTTTGGGGCATCACCTAAGCTGGGGAGTCAGCTGGCAGGAAAATTCTGTCAATTACCTTGACTTCTTGAAAGCAGTGGATAGCAGCAAGCCAGCAAGACCTCCATCGATTGAGAAGGAAGAGAGCAAACGCATCAATTTTGCAGCACTCAGTCCAGAGGAGGTGCTGAAGAAGATGCAGGAGGTCGTCGACTCCTCCCAGCCGGCTTTGTCGAAGGTATGGCAGGCCGAATGCACTTTTATTACGAAAGCTGATTTGAAATGTTTACGTCCTCATTTTCTTGATTACCTAAAGGAAAATTAGCGTAAGTACATTGCAGGCCATCTGGAAAACCATGAATAGTATGGCTTCACGTTTCAGCACCTTAGCTTGTGCTTACGATTGCACTGGCCCCAGAGGTCACCTGGCAGGGATTATTGCAAGCTAAAATGTCTACAAGGGACCAGACATAGAATGAATGATGAACAGGGACAAGAGGAGGCCAAGGCCAGCCAGAGGGCATAGGCCTGTGCCCTTCTCCTCCACCCCGGCCGATTGTTGCTGGGATGAAACATGGGCCCTTTTTTTTTTATTTATGAGAAGCTGTGAAGTCTCCTGATTTTTAAATGCCCGCCCATAGTTCAGATTTTTCAAAAACACTGTGCAGGCCAAACAAATTCGTTTGCAGAGTGGCTTGGTCCCCTTCTAACCTAAAGTGGCGCCATGTAAATGCTAGTGGATGGGCTATTTCTCAAACTGAGGGCCGTGGGCACTTTGGGAGGAACCATGGCTGTCACTTTCGAGACGGGCTCCATAGGCAGTAAGAAACTGTTGGAGGTCTTAAGCAAGAGAGTAGGATTCTCTGGGCAAGAGTATGGAAGCTGGGTTGGAGGGCAGCGAGGAGAAGAGAGCGGATGGTGTTTAAGGATCGCCGTCACAGAAGACAATGAAGAAGACAGATACATGTACACATTTCTGTAGATCCTTGGAGAGATGGCTCACCTTATGTTTATATAGAGTTTTACAGAAGATTGTCTGACTGTAGTGGTTTGCGTGTTGCTATGATGCTGAAAACTATGCCAGTAGTATTTCAAACACCAGCAGGGTCACCCATGGTGGACAGGTTTTACTGGAGCTTCCAGACTAAGACAGACTAGGAAGAAAGGCCTGCCAATCTTCTTCCAAAAATTAGTCAACAAAAACCTTATGAATGACAACAAAATATTGCCCAGTAGAGACAGGTCATCAGGAAGGACCAATCACTAGAGAAGGACATCTTGTGTGATAAAGCAGAAGGCCAACAAAAATGAGGAAAACCCTCAGTGAGGTGGATTGGCCCAGCAGTCAAAGGAGTGGACTCCAGCATAGCAGTGATCATGAAGATGGTGCAGGACTGGGCAGTGTTTCGTTCTGTTATACATGGGGTCGCCATGAGTGAGAACCTGCTTGACGGCAATGAATAACAACAAAAGCTTCTTCACATTGGGTTCTTGCACTGGCCCTGTGGCTTGGCAGGCTGGCTTTACACATGGACGATCACCACCGACCCGAAGAAATGCAGAACTTGTGGCTGGAGACTTCTGGAACCAAGACCCTCATGGCTGAGACTGCTGGAAACCAAGACCTTTATGGCCGAGACTGCTGGACCTGGGACCCTTATGACTGGAGACTTCTGGACCCAAGATCCCCCTGAGGGCTGCTAAGCATCACGTGGACACTGTCTTCCCCGCACCACAGTGCCTTCTCCTGCTCAAGTAATAGGAAATGCTCAGCTAACTTGTCACTTATATAACTCTTCTCCGAAACATTTATCGACATGTGCTATGTGCCAGAGGCCTGGGGAGGTGCATTTTCAGGTTGACTTAGTAAAGCTTGCCACAACCTCTTGGGTTATTAAGTCCGTCTTTTTATAGCAAAGAAGCTGAAGCTCAGTGAGCCTAAGGTCTGTGCTGGGTAAGAGCCGAGGTCCAAAGACCAACTGCTGCCTGCCAGGCAGGGTTCTTTCTACCTTACACAGCAGCCTCGGGCTTCCACTGTGGGAGGCTGGGAAAAGATCGGGACCTGTGGAGCGTTCTAAGGTTAATTTGGTTGCACGTATGTCATCACCCCTTGGGCCCGTGGAGTGTGCCTGATTAGCCCTGAATGATAGTTAACTGCAAGGGAATTGGCAAGTACACTAAATTCTTACTTAAAATTAAAAAATGATCTTAATCTCTGATACAGACTTGTTACAGATTTCCGAGTGCAATAAAAATGAATGATTTTGTTTCGACAGATGGAAAAAAAAAATGTGCTTTCTTTTTATAGCACATTTTTTTTGCACTTTTTCAGCTTGACTGCTGTTGTGGGCTCATGCTGTCTGCTCCCCCAGCCCTGGCATGCGGCAGCAGAGCCTTCCCCAGCCCCTCGTAATACGAGGCCACGCCAGCTCCAGTACAGGGTCCCGAAAGGCCAGCAGCCTCGGTGTAAATGCCTCGGGGTGGGGGTGGGGGTGTCCCCTGACCTGTGTCCCCAGCCCCTCAGAAAGCCAGGCTCCTCCTGTGTGATCTGTCCCCCAAGCCTGTGGGATTGCTCCTGAGCCAGGAGCTGCCTCCTGTTACAAGTAATTGCCGCTTTAAGGAGCTACAATGTAATGGTCGAGAGGCCTTGGGCAAGTTGCTTCTCCCCTTGGAGCCTCCTTTCTCCTCTGTAAAAGGGGGTCATCAGAGCAGGTATGAGGCTTACATCACATAATGGGCGCATGCCGCCAGCCGCAGGACCAGAATCCTGTCACCCTTCGCCCTCCCCGTATTCAAGTAGGAGAGACTACTGCGAATTTTCTCTGCAGCACGTAAACTCTTATCCCGTGTGCATAGCTTCCGTGTTCCTAGTCCTTCAATGGATTCCCTGGGTGGTAGACAGTTAACACGTGTTCAGCTGCTACCCAAAAGGTTGGCAGTTTGAGTCCACCCAGACACTTCTCGGAAGAAAGCCCTGGTGATCTGCTTCCAAAAATCTGCCATTGAAAACCCTATGGAGCACAGCTCTGCTCTGACACACAAGGGGTCACCATGAGTCAGAATCGACTCCACAGCAGCTGGAACCGGAAAGTCCTTCAAGAAAGTGCATTTATTTAGTAGTTTAGACCTTGCAGAGGACTTTCATACATTTGATTTCAATTGCGTTCAGTAGAAACAATACTTAAGGAAAATATTTTTTAAATATTCACTTGACATTGGTGTCTGCATTCATTTTTCTTCTTCTTTTTAGGCCTTTTCTGAGTTGGATAAAGAAGACACTGGGTTTGTAAAGGCTGCAGAATTTGGACAAGTTCTTAAGGATTTCTGTTACAAACTGTCAGATAACCAGTTTCATTATTTTTTGAGAAAATTAAGAATTCATCTAACCCCCTGTATACATTGGAAATATTTTCTCCAGAACTTCAACTGTTTCCTCGAGGAGGTAAGGATGTCTCTAACACATAAGCATCTCTTTTTGAAAGAAGGGACAAAAGAATTATTTTTTGGAAAAATGGATAATTGATTAAAATATGTCAGAAAAATTGGCAACCACCTCCTGTAATTAGCTCATTCTAAACGGAGAGTTGGTGGACATTCCACATAGAATATTAGGAGGTAAATATGTAACGTTTAGTTTGTTGGAAAGTTGTTATTTTATTTTGTTTTCATTCCGAAGAAGTTTGGGGCTGGTTTGTGTCTGGCTCTTTTAGAGTTCTAAGGAATCTTAGATTCCAGAAGATGATCTTATGTCCAGAGAAGACCCTGAGCCGTGTATTGGGGTACAAGGAGTGCAAAGCACAGGGTAGAGGCAGGCATGGAGAGAGTGCGCTCTGGCAGCAGAGACATGTTCAGCAGAAGGAAGGGCCCCGGAGGAAGTCAGGGAGGACTTCCCGGAGGAGGTGGGTGCCTCGTTCCTCCCCAGGACAGTCTCTCTGGCTGCACAAGTTGTTTATTCTTAGGTTGTTTCTAGATCTCTGAATGCACATGGACCCACGTCATTAGCAACAGTGACAGTCTAGGTCCAACCAACCCCTATTTCTCTGACTACTGTTCTGTGCAGGGCACTGTGCTGAGTGAGAAAGGAAGTACAAGGGCCACAGTCCCTGCTGTCACGGAGGGGAGACAAAAATAAACTCGCAGAAATTTCAAAAATAAGGCAATAGCTAAAGCACAACAGACTCGTGCTAGACTGGATTTAACTCTCCCCTGTAGGTGGATGCAGGTCCAATTGCACACATTTCTGGATAATACTATAATGAACCTCCTAAGCTGGTAAATCTTGGCTCATTTATATAAGATAAATGTTTCGTCATGGAATTACTAGAGCCAATGGCATGAACATTTTTCAGGTTCTGAGGCTAATCAGAATGATAACAATAGCAAACACTCTATAGTGCTTTCTGTGGTCCAAGCCCTGTTCTTGGTCACTTGTATCTGTGAACTCAGGAGTTCTGGGGGGCACAGACAGTTAAGTGCTTGGCTACTAGTTGAAAGGTTGGCAGTTCGAACCCACCTAGAGGTGCCTCAGAAGCCAGACCTGGCAGTGTGCTTTTGAAAGGTCGCAGCTTTGAAAGCCCTATGGAGCTGTTCAGCTCTGGGGTCGCCATGAGTTGGGTGCAACTCAAGAGCACCTCACAACAACAGAGTCTGTGAGCTCAGCCAGTCCTTTAGTCAGGTCCGTGCTATTACGAGCCTCATTTCATGGATGAGTGCACAGAGAGGCACAGAGACGTTACGTGACTTGCCCGCAGCCACACAGCTGGTGAGTGGTAGAGTGGACTTGCAAACCCAGGAAGTCTGGCTCCGGATTCACGCTCCTGGACCCCATGCTGTGGGGGGTTATGACTTTTTTAATCTTGCCATTTACCCCATTGCCGTCAAGTCGATTCCGACTCATAGTGACCCTACAGCGACTCTGTAGGACAGACAGAGTAGAACTGCCTTATGGGGTTTCCAAGGCTGTAATCTTTATGGAAGCCGACTGCCACATCTTTCTCCCACAGAGCAGCTGATGGGTTTGAACCACCGACCTTTCGGTTACCAGCAGAGCGCTTAATCACTGCACCACCAGGGTTCCTTCTCTTGCCATTTAGATGGGCCTTTGTAAACAGTATAGACTCTTGTGTTGCATATTTTACAAGCTTATGTAAATGGTGTTAGATTGCATGTTGTCTCCTGCACGTGTTGTTGGGTTTTTCCCCTTACTCGAGATCATGTTTCTAAGACTTCTCTGTGTTGATAGTGGCTTTAGTTCATCCACTTAGGCCGCTGTAAAAAGAGTCTGTTAAATGAATGCGTCCTGTTGAACACCACCATTCAGTTATCCTCCTCCTGCTGATGAACACTTAGGTTGCTTGTGGTTTTCTCCGTTACGAACCGATCGACAGGGAGCCCTTCACGTGTCTCCTGGACACGCACACAGGAGCTACTGTTGCGGGATAGGAGGGTGGATGCATATTCAACCTCCCCTCCCTCCAGAAATTTTGTTGCCGTCCAGTTGATTCAGACTCACAGCAACCCTATAGGAAGGAGTAGAACTGCCCCGTGAAGTTTGCAAGGCTGAAATCTTTATGGAAGCAGATTGCCACATCTTTCTCCCTAGGAGCAGCTGGTGGGTTTGAACAGCCAGCCTTTCAGTTAGCAGCCGAATGCTTAACCACTGCGCCACGAGGGCTCCTTTCAACCTCCCCAGATATCGCCCAAACGTTCTCCAAAGTGGGTAGAGCAGTGGACACTCCCACTCACGGTGCACGCGAGCTCACCTGGGTAGTAGCGGGCCTTTTACTTTCCGCCAGTCGGATTGCTAGTGGGGCCGAACCCTCCCATATGTTATAGACCGTTGCGGCTCTGCTGTCTGCGGGTTGCCCAAGAGCACGCTAGTCTATGGTTGGTCCTGGGAGCTGGAAACTTCTTCTCCTGGCCTGTGACAAGTCTTTTCACTTTATCTCTGGTGGCCCTCACTATTTTTAATACTTATAGTTCTTCTGATTTTAAAAAGAATGCATCTTCATTGTGGGAAGTTTGGAAAATTCAGGAAAGCACAGATAGGAAAACAGCCTTCTAAGCCCCGCGATGAGGAGAGGGTCCGATGACAGGAACTCTTGAGTTTAAAGAGCGCCTCCTGTGCTCCTGGCCTCCACAGGCATTTCCTCCTTAGCTGTTACCCCCCGAAAGGAAGGTGTTCATTCTCATCCCAGATGAAACGGGCTCCAGGAGGTCAGGTGACTGCAAGCCTTCCAGCAAGGAGAAGCAAGTTAGGTGGGTTCACCTTTAGAGTTTATGTTCTTTAGCTATGCCGCACTGCCTCAGAGATATTTTCTCCTAGTTTTAATGCTTTTTTTTTTTTTTTACATAGTGGAGATAACCATGTATCTCCAACATTGTATCTTGAATCAAGATGCAGTCATGTATCTTGCTGTTTTTCAGTTAACATTAAATCAAGCATGTCATCTAAAGGGTTTCCAGACCTCAGTTCAAATGTCTGTATAACGTCCTGTTGACTCCCTTGGTTTTAAGAATTTGGCTTCCCCCCACCGCCCCAGCTTTTGTCAGTGTAACTGACTTTGCAGTGAACGCTTAGTGTGTAAATCTATATCCACATTTTGGATTCTTTTCTTTAGGAGAGATTACAAGAAATAAATAACTGGGGTCAAAGGATAGGAATACTTTTATTGATCTTGAAAGCAGCCCCTGATATTGTTATTTGTTAATTTTTTTTTATTGGGTTGAACCCTATGAAATTGCCATTTGTTGAGTCAGAAATGATTGAACACTGATAATTTCATGTGCTTTATGCTGATATTTGTAGAAGTTGTATGTGCCCATTACACGTGATTTATAAAATACTAAGAAGGTAAATCACCCCTAGGGACAACCAGCGTTAACATTCTGGCTTATTACCCTCCGATTCTTTCTTCTGTATGAATGTCCTTTGGGGAGAGGCCAAGGACAGGCTGTCGATGCTGTTGAATTTGAAGGTCGTTGGAGAGTTTCTGGGCTCTTACAAGTCTCTTTTTTTAACAAACATTTTTTTATTTGTGTCAGAGTAGTATATATGTCCTCTAGAAATCAAGCTGAATTGCTGCAAAATATTTACAAACAGAAATCCCCCATCACCTCTCTTCTCCTCCAGTCCCGCTCCCCAAAAGCAATCACTTTCATATTTTCCAGTTTCTTCAGCTATGTTGTGGTTGTTAGGTGCCATCGAGTCGTTTCCAATCACAGTGACCCCACGTACAACAGAATGAACCACTGCCGGCCCTGGGCCATCCTCACCATCGTGGTTACGCTTGAGCCCATTGTTGCAGCCACTGTGTCAATCCATGTCATTGAGGATCTTCCTCTTTTTCGCTGACCCTCTGCTTTCCCATGCTGTCCTTCTCCAGGGACTGGTCCCTCCTGGTGACACATCCAAAGTGTATGAGATGAAGTCTCACCATCTTGCTTCCAAGGAGCACTCTGGCTGTACTTCTTTCAAGACAGATTTGTTCGTTCTTCTGGAAGTCCATGGTATAGTCAGTATTCTTCACCAACACCATAATTCAAAGAAATTCTTCTTCGGTCTCCCTTATTCATTGTCCAGCTTCTGCATGCATATGAAGCCTTTGAAAATACCATGGCTTGACTCAGGCACACCTTAGTCCTCAAAATGACATCTTTGCTTTTTAACACTTTAAGAGGTCTTTTGCTGCAGATTTGCCCCGCGCAATGTGTCATTTGATTTCCTGACGGCTGCTTCCATGGGCATGGATGGTGGATCCAAGTAAAATGAAATCCTTGACAACTTCAGTCTTTTCTCTGTTTATCATGATGTTGCTTACTGGGCTTCAGCTGTATGCTTCCTTACCTCTGAGTAGGACACTTACCTTCCGTTTCTTAAGTATCAGTTCTCAGTATTGCTCACCGACTTGCCGACGTGCAGATGAGGATTTGGCTGTCTCGTCCCGTCCCAGCTGCTTCCTCCTCCGGGTCCCCTGCAGTCCTCTTCTGCAGACTGCTCTTCTGCAGACTGCCTTCACCTCCTAGGCTCTCCTGGCGATTGCCCTGGCGTTAGTTTGTCTCTAAAACGTGGATTCCTTGCATGTGTCCTGCTCCACTGTATGGAGACATCCACTCTTCCCGTCAACAAACGCTTGTGTGGCCCTCTGCTTACCAGGCATTGAACTGGGTGCTGCTGGGTTTGGTCTCTGCCTTCTGGGAGCTTCCATTCTAGGAGGGAACATAGATAAGAGATGGTAAATATATCCTATGTCAGATTCTGCTGAGTGCTGTGGGGCACGAGGGGGCAGTCAGGGAGGGCCTCTCTGAGGAGGTGACATTTGGGCAGAGACCCCGCGGAGGTGAGGGATTGAGCCGAGTAGTGTCTATGGGAGGGGTAGTCCCAGGCAGGGATGCGGGGGAGCCCATCTGTGGTCTGAGTGTGGAATGTAGGGCATGCGGTCA